GAGTCAGTAAAAGATTCGGTGCCTGTCTCTTCTGAACACGGTTATGAACATTTGCCACTAAAGGCGGAATTTCATGACTACCTGAACAAACACTGGCTTCTCAAGAAGGACTCAGCTCTATGGAGTCAGTTTACTTCAGCCTTCTTCAGGGCTGCTACAGTCACACAATCGTATTTGGAAAGTAAATAAGTAACTTTAATAAGTGTTGCAATCTGACAAAAAGATATTAAAACTTAAAGGTAATGAATGTTTGTTCTCAAATGCTAACATCCAGTTCTACCACTTTCTCTAAATAATAGCATAATCTGCAGCCTACAGCTGTCATGCGTTGACTCATTCACTACTTCCTTGTCCTGGCCACATCCTCATCCTCCTCCGGTCAACGAAGTGGGCAACCAGAGTGTGTGCGCAATGTATGATTCTGGGCCCTCTGAACTAAGCGTATTACGCAGTACAGCAGTTTCACAACAATTAGCGCGGTGGGCTACGGATTGTGACGGGCATACCAGGGTTGATTCCGCAGGTAGAGAAAAGTGGTGTAGGTGGTTGCAAACGCTTCAGAAGAACGTATGGCGCCTGCAAAAATGGAGGCTACACGTTTCCCTGAAACGATGGTAACCTCCTACAACACCACAAGGTGTCACAATCCAGAAGTCCACAGTCGACATCTTCAATGTGTTGTTTTGTAACTGAAATTAGTGGTAACCAATTATACGTTTGCGGTATCTTCATTGTTGTGACGTATCACTTCAGCCATCCTGGCTCACGGCAGCCAGTAAGGCTCAGGTATTACAAAAAGTATCCGCAGGGTTCCACTTACATTTTCTCCATCCTCGCAAAGGGAAACCTTTATCTCATATATACAAAGTTTTGGCTTGCCAGAGCCTTATTCTTTCGGTTCGATAGCATATGAGTGTTCCATGTAATTGTGAGTCCTTTGACACCAGTTTCTTTAAATATCTTCGACAGCCAAAATCGGAATGAAGAAGCATGCATTCAAGCTGTATTACAAACAAGCATGGCCGTGAGAGTCAATCTATGTTTTCAATACAGCCCAGATATAATTTATAAACATGCGGAAACTGCACGAAAAGAATCAAACAAAGCATGTATATATGCATACGCGGAGATTAACCTGTCCCCATGCTAATAACTATGTATTTAAAAGAAGGTGTGTTAGTCACGTTTCTGATTTAGACCCACTCATTGAAAAATTTCAAACGGCACGGTTTGTAATACAACAAAAATAAACCTTTAAAAGGCATTCTGAAGCTATTAGCTTGTCCCTAACAAAAGCTTATTTGCGACAGTAGCGGGCATTATACAGCACAATACAGACGTATTAATCTATACAGGACACATTATACACCTCACAGCTTAAATTAAATATTGTACCTTGGACACATCGACAGGTGCATACTCAATATAACTCCAAGTCATGTTCTACTACAGGCTACAACGGAACATGGATTAGACGAAACCCTGATTTTATTTGGTGATTTCTCAAACAGAAGTGCGAATAAAGGATGAAAGCGAATATAAACATATTTCTATCAAAAAAAAACTTCAACGCAGGAACGAGAACGGGGAATGGAAGCGGTGAAAAGAATCTGACAGAGAACAGTTCACATCAACATTAATTGTTTTCTTTCGTACTGAGAAGGAACATTTCTTTAATTAATGAGAAAGAATTAAGCTCTGCTGTAAACAATGAGCATACTAATTTAACAGATTAGTGACAACAAAACTAAAGAGCGATACAGGTTTGGTGGGTTTTATGGGCATGATACACCCCCACGAAGTTTAATAAAATTCCGTTAAAGGATAAAAAGTCATTAGTGGTGAACAGACATGGACATGGCACCAAAAGACTAAGAATAGGATGAAGACAAGTAATACAAAATTACGAGCTCATTTGTTCAATCCATTTTCATTCAAAAAGTCAGTGCATGCGGGCGTACAACTGCATACATGTTCTGATTCGGTTCACTGCCATCTTACATTCAGTTCAGAAATACAACGATATCCCTTGCGATTAAGTAACATGCCACGAAGATAGAGATCACGGAGTTAAAGCTCTACACTGGGAACTGCAAGAGGTGAGCTGTTGTCGGCTACCTTCATCGGCGAGAACCCAACCGCCCATACCACTAGCGAAACACCGCTTCCTGGCGTCCTACGTGAATCCTTGTTCATTAAAAGAGAGAATATGAACCATGATCACAGATTTAAGTGAAACTCAAAAATATGTGTAACTGTCCATTCAGGTCACACATTGCAAAACTAATTATTCCACAACAGTGACCTAATATTCAAATTTTGTTCGGAGGTGATCGATGTGGCATCCGCGGGTGATGCGACACACGTCCCATCTGAATGCAATCTCGTCCCACACTCATTACCGCTTCACGGATTCTGCCTCGCCGCCGTCACCCGACCTCAGAACCCTTGTTTTTCAGTTATGGGGCTAAATCAAGGACGAACTACATGCTCTTCCTGTGCTACAATCCTTACAGTAACTGAGAGATAGATTCCGTGACGAGGTAATGAGGGCCAATGAAGATATTGCTACGTAGTGTGGGGGACGAGACCATGAACACAACACCGGAAAACGCCGGAAGTACATCAATATTCTTACCCCGTTACGATTACTACTAAGATTTAAATTAAATATTTTCGGCAACAAACAGGAGCTTCTTAAACTTTTACGCTGTGGCATTTGAATGCCGTGAAGAACGTCGAGTTCCTGAGAGCAGGCGGAGCATGACAAAACCAGTACCTCCACCGGTAACCAGGATGTTGGATGTTCCTTCAAGCTACCCAAGTGCAGATTAAATATCGTTCTCTGTGACTGCGGGCATGAAAGAAGTGAGGGGGGAAAGGGAGTTACAAAACATGTCATTCGAGGACTGTGCTTATACTGTGCATTGCACAGAATTGCAGAATCAGTGAATTTTGATCCACCTGTATTCTCCAGTCACATCTTGGCATCTTCAATGGAGGAAGCAAACTACCTAACTCTTGCGCAATCACCTGTATGAAGTACATTCTATAAACATGACATTTTTGAATTTCAGTCCACTCTTATCTAAAAGTAATATCTTTTCATTATGTTTGGATTTTCTGTTTGTTTAAAAATGCTTTATCAACTGCATAATTTTCAGAGGTTGTTGTGAATCATGAATTGACACATTTTAAATGATTAAACCAGTATTTGTCTGGAGAGATTGAGGAAAAACACAACCCTCCCAAAAATTAGCATGTCTCCAGGACCTCATAAATATGAAGAGTGTTTAAACACTGCACAACCGTGTTCAGCATGCCTTTATGCCAACAGCATATTTTTCAGTTTAACTATTACCAAAACTGAGCTTGAGACCCTTTGTACATAACTCAGTATACCACCCATCAGGGTCAACCTGGTGATCTTAACATAACGAACATTTACTGTAAACATGCAATTTCTAGGCCACTAAAAGTCAAACTATCTCCTGCAGTGGGTATGTGATAACTCTCATCCTCATTGACAGTCATTCCACAAACATGAATTTGTTTGCTGTTCTATAGTATCCACACATATGCTGCATGTACAAGCATAATAATAGATACATATTTCATTTTCTCATCAGGAATAAACCCAACTGATGCTGGTGAGATTTAAGGTTCTCATGGCAACAAGTCTTCTTGGATTTAGCACCATGCAGTCTAGTAGATAGTGAATGACATTTCAGAGGATCAAACCATCCATCAACCAGATGATGAAGGCTGCAGGCCCTTCTGAAATGCAGTCAGTAGCTACACAGTACTACATCCCAGAAGACAGCCATACCAAGATGAATCCAAGTCAATGATAGCTAGAACTACCTGGAAGAATGTGTTCTTTTCAAACATCAGACAATGAACAAAGTCAAGCAATCCAATACCATCCATATAACTGTTTAGAACTGAAAGTGGCCTATTAAATCAAGAAAAGACTGTGCTATGACACACACTTTTAGACTGTCTAATAAGAAAAAATATGAAAGATAGGCATATGGCATCATGTTCATGCGTGTCCCTCACTAATTTTTGGAATTGCTTGGTATGCACAATACAACTTTTCATTTTTTAATTCCTATGAGCAGTAACACCAACAAGCAGGGTGCATAAATAATAAAGCAGTGAATACTTCAGATTTAAAAAGTTTTTGAAACATCTCTTCCATCCTAACTAATTTCAGAACAATGAACTTCAAAATAAGTTTTGTATCATATTAAAAACTGATAAACTCATTTGTCATTTAGTAGAGGGAACCTTTATCAATGGTATGGTATGTGTTACTCTTGATTACACCCACTTTCGTTTCAATCCTTGACTAAACAACATTATAAACCATTTGCTGTGTAACTCTGGATTGTGATATTACTTTCACTTTAAAAAATACCGAGAAGAGAGTAATGCAGTAGCATGAAAAACCGTTGTTCACAAAAATGCTGAAACATGCTCAAATAATAATACAAACTTACACACACTGAATTAAAGATTAAACTGTGGGATCTTAATAATTCTTATTACCTGCATTGCAACTGATGCCATGTCCACATTATTCATCCAAAAGCCACTAACTACTCAATATGTTTCAGTGAAAGATGGGTTGGACACATGTGATTCTCATCTTATAAATATGAAATGAAGTAAAGAGGACACACATTCATAAATACTATCATCATATCAATCTCATCAAACATCCGTATGGAATCAGAACCATTATATCACATCACAATTATGCTTCAAATATAGATAAAAAATTAGCTGATAATAATTAAACTAATGTGAACAACTGAATCATAAAGGTCACAACCAACATGCATGGAACTTGAAGGTGTTTTCATTCTGAAGCCGATATAGTTCATGAAAGATACGTAGTATGAAGACACTAACTGAAAATGGAATGAAAAAATATTATCAAACAGCAGTAAATGGCACTTAAACTATGATTTTTTTAATCAGATAAACTGTACCTGTTTCCAAAGTTGTTTTTCCAGAACTCTGCTGCATCACTTTTGGTGATCCTGAATTGGTCACCGGCAAATATCCCATTTGGAAATACTGCCTTAAGTTCACTTAACATATGACTAAATACTAGACTGAGTTTGGTAAGATTTCTTCTGTAATGGGAATTCTCATCAAACATCTTGTCTTTCCCTTCTTTAAAAAGTTTAATAGCTTGCTTGCATTTCCTAAATAAGTTCTCGGTGAACAAGACGAAATGTTCGTTCCTATGAAGCACACTCATTTCACCTTCATATTTTGAGTAAATAAGTTTTAGTTGTTGGTAGGTGTCAGGAAGAATATCCAGAATGAAAGGAGGAGAATTTTTCAAGTTCATTTTTTGATGCTGGCACAGCTTCACCACTTTGTCCATCAGTTTCCAAGTTTTATCCAATGTCCTTTTATCTGTTGCTAATCTCGGTGATGCTACAACATCAGCGAAAGCATCGTGTAGCTTAGAAAATATTGACGTAATATTTTTGTGTTGTGCTGTCCTATTCCGGTTGTTAGCCGCCATGATGAACTCTCCCTACTCAAAAAGCTTCCAAATGCTTTAGATTTGAGAGGAAGAACCCGTATCTCACACTAATTCATCCACTTTTATCACGCTGCACACACACCATAAATTCCGAGCACAAACTCTCGAACTTGGAAAGCAAAATTATTTAACACACTGATAACGCAGAAACTCACTCCCACAACTTTGTGACACCGCATCCTGCTTGCCAAATGACGAATACCAAAGATAATTATGCAGATGTACGAGACGGAGCAATTCCGAACTACCGGCTACTAGTGGCGCACCAAATTTAACGGAGAAACTATGCACCAAAGTCCGGAAGTAGAGGCAACCACTGGTAATACCAACATACGAATCGATTATGCAACATGGATTTAATCATTTTGTTGTTGTCATACATAAACTCCTGAAATGTTATTGATGGAGGGAAAATAGCCAAAAACTATGTCATGAGATTATTAATAGGCCACCACCAAATCAAAAACTGACTTTTCCTGCCTATTCCTTTTTACTTACTCAAGGCCCCTACCTCAATTAAAATAACCAAAAACAACTAATCTAACACAGAAGCTGCTATGGATATTTGAGGAATTACCAAGTGACCTTAAAATATTTATTTATTTTTATTCATCTTGGCAAAAGTATCAAAATCGGGCACATCAATAATAAAGTACATAACCTTACATAAGAATACTGGATTTTTGTTACAAGATGCAAAAGCATCAAGCAAACAAAATCCTAATTAGTCCCAATCATGTAAGCCTTGATGAACAGATCTCTCACGTAGAAGTTTCAAAGCTTTCACAATGTCCTGTGCAGACTGTCATGGATTAGGTTGGGTTGCAACAACTCCATCACCTAAAAGATTCTTTACACAAATACCTGAGAAAAACAACATAGGAAATGTATGTATAAGATAACAGTTCTGATGCATTTAGTTTATTGTTGCCTGCAGTTATTCTGCTTGTAAACTCAAATTTGGTAGCTTTATTTTAAACAGCATAAAACAAGCAGAGAACTACCAATACATAGTTTTATTAAAATCAATCTAGTAGCAGTTCTCAGAATATCAGATGACAGCATTAAAATCCATTCTGCTTAATCATCTCAAAAATGGTAACACTTATAGGTAAAGTGTACTGGGCATAAAATGTGTCTCATTTTTCATTATAACTTTTATACAATATATTTCTTGCTCTGATAATTGTGTAGTAAGTTACACTACAAATGCATGTAAGTCTTAATGTAACATGGCTGTTATTGTCTGGTTTTAACCAAAACTGGATTGTGTTCACAAATTTTAGTAAAACTCTCCTACATAAAATGTCATGAAAATTTGTTCCATGTTTCACAAATTGTTACATGTGATTAGGTACACTAACAGGCATGCAAAACCAGTACAAAATTATTTGAAACTTTTCATTTAGAATGTGACAACTTAAAAACATTATTTCATATCTTTTTTTGAACATTCTGTTTACATGTATATTAAATAAAGTAACAATAATACAGAATTGCAATAAACACTAATTTTCAAACTAGTTCCATTACAAACTGGTAAAATATCTCTGCCAACAACTGAATTCACACTGTGCAAATCATAGCTAGTCACCTGACCAACTTATTTGCCTGGATCAGCTTTAGAGGGATACTCAATGTTAAATGTTAACTAAAATGAACCAGTTTTAACAAGATATACATTAAAATAAAATTAAAGATCATCATGAAAACTATTATTCATTCCAGTTATAGGCAATAACACTTTGATATTTCCATTCATTCTATGGCTAATGCTTCTTCTGCAACAGACATCACATTAAAATATTCATAATATGTGTCTTATTTAGCTTGGTTTTAAGTCACTATGGTCACAATGTAACATGTAGGAAGAATATTTTTCTGCAATGTTTACTTATATCAGTACTTCTTAACCTCTTTTATCAAATTTTCAATCACTAGGTTCCTTAGCAGTTTGAAATTCCTAGACTGGAAGAATGTGTGTCAAGGATCAATAATTAATTCATATTCATTAACTTGGGTAAATAATAATAGGAAGTTCAGAATGCTTGCTATTATTGTGTACAATGTTTCTGTTTGATATTTATAAATACTAATAAATTGCATATAAGAAAATTATTAACTGTCACTTATGTAGTAAACTGGGTTAGTCCTACATTTATGTACATATTTTTCAACTTTCCTTAAAATGTCTGTTAACAACACTGCTACAAGTAACTTCAATTTTACTTCTAACCATGTGTTCTAATTATATGTAAAACCAAAAATGAAGAATTTCAAAATTTGGGTGATCCCTGACATCAACATGTGATCAACAGATGATAACTATCTGGGTTCATTTGTCAAATATTAGAAAGATTTAAAATAAACTTAGATATGCACAATAGAACCACAAAAACATTTATAACTTTTATGTGCCAAACAATAACCTCAGCAAATATCAAAAAGCAGTTTACTATATTGTAATTAAAAAAAGTAAAGTAAATCTGTCCCATCACATGCCATGTAAACTAGATGGGGCTGAGTGGTCAGCATCATGCTCCGGCAGCAGTTTACCCCCGGCAAAAGACCCCAGTATCCATTAGATGGGAGACTGGGATGTCTGGATGCAAAGGGTAGAGGAAAAATCCTCTAACCCCGTCGGGGATCGAACCCTGGTCGTCCAGCCTGTAGCCAGTCACTATACTGACTGAGCTACCCCAGATCTTATAATGGAATTAAGCAATTCAATAATCTTCCCCCCCACTATAAGAGTCTAAATCAGGACATAGAGACATTTAAGACAACACTAAAACAGTATCTTCTATTTGACTCCTACTCCACAGAAGAATCTACCTCAACCAAAAATTCTCAGATATTATAAACACATGTAAGCAATAGTGGTTATGCTCTTGTGTGTAATTATTTTTGTGGTAATACTGTAGTTGACTGTAAATCACTGTCATAACTGTGATTATATCTGTATTAAAAACAAGTACTGTATTTGTGCTATGACATGTTCTACATCCATGCATCCTTGGCTTCTGCCTATTAAGGATCCATGGAATGTATATTCTATGTACCTGCAACTATTAACAATATAAAGAGACTGTCTTCTCCACCCACATTATGAGAATGTACTGTGCCATTGCATGGTGATAACAGAATGGGCCCATTTAACATCCAAATACAGCCAGATGAGAATTACTGATTTTTTTGCTGTTCTTCTTTAAATTTTGCTTAAATTCTATCATACAGTGGGCTTTGTGCAAGAATGCATGTGCAATTACTGGTTTACTTCAAAAAGTGAATAATATATGATCAGTACATGTTCCTTTTAACCTTTGATATACTCTTTCAACTCATTCAATCAAATTCATACCTCACACATAAACATGAAATCAGAAATTCAGCTTCACAGTTTTACACCTAGCACAGACAAAAAAAGTCATCCTCACATGCCTAACATACATACAGATGTTCCAAAAAGATGTATGCATACAAGGTTAATATTCCTTATTTTAGTGTGTATATATTTTCCTGGAATGTCCTGTATATTTACTTAAAGATAATTTATGATCACATCTTTGATAAGTTTATTTATTTTTCTTGTTCAATAACATAGGTTATACAAAATAAAATGGGAAGTAACGAACTGTAATTAAAGCAGTTGTGGCTTATTTCAAGGCAGGATCTTAAAATAGGCACTTTCTTCAGATCCTTCCTAAAACCATCAGCCACAGTCATCCAAGTTCGACACCATATAACCTATGCAACTGACAAAGCATAATACTGACAAATAATCATTTCTGCAATGCACACGCTTAAAGTCATATCTCAACTAAATACTTTAAATAAAAGTTGATGTGTCAGTACTTTCATATTGTGACTAGTGGCTGAAACACAATAATGATTAATCTAAATAGACTTTATCAGTGTCTGATACTAAATTACTCATTAGTATAGATTTATGAAACCTGATGATACACAGTTCAATTTTCAGATTAAACATTAATGAACACAAAATATATAAGTGATTAAACTTCAGCAATGGTGCTAATTATTAGAGGACCAGTTGCTTAAATGCTTTGCTGTAAGATTTAAATTCACCGTATTATGATGACTTCAGCCTAGTTTATTGCCATATACTTACAGACACCAGTTCACCCTCCAGTTTATATGGACTAAAAGGACTGTTATATCATGTTTAATTTTAACTGTTTATGTGTAAATATTTAATATCACAATAAATTATTATTTATTAAATCACATTCAGCTTGGCTGTGGTACAGCTACAAAAAGTACATTAACATATCAATAAATCATCAGTTGGTTTTACGATTCCCTTGATACCATACAAATCAGGTAAAACTAATGACTAAATACATTTGACTCACAGCCCACATTTTATTCTATCACATACAACAAAACAAACTGAAATGCCTCAATGTTTCAGAAAATGAACAAAGAATAAGACACATGAGAAAACATGCAAACTATGATGATAAAGCAAACATTACAAATATAAACTATAATAAAATTACATTATTCATAAAAGCAAACATTCAGTTACATGGTACAAAGTAAAATGTGTTCAATATCACCTTTTACATTTAACCACGCAACCAATTACTACAAACCACCCCAATCAAGATAAAACAGTGACAGTTCTATTAATAAAAAACACAGATGCTTATATGGGTCATCACATTGTAAGATTTAAAAGGCCTTATTGTAAGAGCAATGTAGAATGAACAATTAAATTTCTTATTGAGCTCTTTCATACCAAAGCTACTTCTGCATCTTTAAATTAGCAAGAATTTAATCACATAAGTAGCACTGTTGTGTAGTTCTACATTCTTCACTGGTGTCACCTTTTCAATTCACTGGAAATCACAAGGATACCAAAGCTTGAGATGAGAAACCAGCTGGGTGGTATAGATGACAGAAGACGATATCGTTCATCTGTAAAAGTTGCACATATGTGTCACAATATTTACATTTCTTGGAAAGCAACAAAAGTGTCTTAGAGCAAAATCCTTCTTGACCATTCATGATACCCACATGTATAGGGGAAGATAACTGTGAAATAGATTTCATAGTGTGACACGATTCATCTGGATCGAGATAGTGTCCAGCAACATGTAAACATGATAATAAACCTTACTAAATGAGCAATTACTAGCTTCTCATGAAGGACTGTCCTCCATTCAGTTAGTTACACTTTACACCATACTAGTATGTTGTGTTTTACATAATAATAATAATAATAATAACAATAAAAATATCAAACAGGACTTCATGAATGCATGCAAATGAAAACTTATCTTGTAATGGTCTCATCTTTTTAAACAAAATGTTCAGTAGATTCAGACTTTTGGGAACTGTATACAAACTTTAACCTGTGCATAAAGAAAGGTAACAATAATCAGTATATGATTAAAAATGGGGCCCATAGCTAGTCACTTTACTGACTGAGCTATTCCAGCTTTACACATAAAGCAGGTGTGCTGAATACAATATATGAAAGTGCTTTACAACCACCACAAAAATAAATCTCTAAATTTTCTATTTTGTGGGCATTACAATCTAAGCAGACTTAAAAGTTGTGGCTACAATCTGAAAATCTGGAAGTGATAAGCAAGGGGATATAAAAAGGACTTTTTTCCATATTTGAAACTTTAAAGAGAAAATTATAATAAAAATAAAATAAAAATGTACGATGCAAACACTAAAAACAAATACTCATTCAGGAGAGTCAACACCTTCAAAATACAAACCCTACCACTGACCTGTGTCTATACAGTATCAATTAGTAAATCTCTGTTACACTGAAGTGTTGATGGAATAAACTGAATGTTTAAATATTACTTAGACATGCTTCAAAGTTCTAAATAATCATTTTTTTGGCAACTAGCAATACTAGTAAATTGGGGGACTGTCAGAAAATGTGTCTACATGATACAGAAATTCTGTGTCAACAGTAGTTAGGATTTACTTTGTTTCGCGGTGACAGTATTTTCCTAGTTTTCTATCTGTCAAATACTGGAACATGGATGTTAGGAAGATGATCATATATGGTGGATAAGAGGATTTCAAGAAAGATGAAAGTACTATCCTGGTTTTATCTGTAGTAACTAAGAAACACCACAGAAACCTGCAGCAACAATAACTATAGTAACTTGACCAAGATTCAAACCAGATACCACCTCGATATTAGTCTAGAAAATTAATATTGCAGAACTCTGATTTGCTCAAGAATTTGATACAGTTAATTTTGAGTATATACATACAAGACTTGGACTCTTATGTTGGCATGAGTCCTGAATTCAAAAAATATATATAAATGAAACAAGAGTTGTGGATCTTAAACATATGAAATGACTGGGGAATGAAAATAAAAATATGAGAAACTTTGTTATTTAGTCTTCAGAGGGTTAGACAGCCTGTGAACATACCAAAAGGGCAACTAATAAAATGTGCAGCACTTTAAATTAAACATCACGGAAAAAAGCTGCTTGTGTGACCTTGGAATAAATGAAAGGGAAATAATATAAATATGGTTTGGATTCAGGTGGCTAAAATATCAAATTATGAGACTTTCCCAAGGGAAATAACGACCATGATATGGTATAACAGTGAGTACTAGAAGTTTGTAATTGTACTAAAATAATTATTCTACTAAAGAAGCTGGTGACAATGTGGTTCAGGATTACAGTTCTTTTTTCTCCTCTTGGTCATGCCTAGACATATATTTCAATTACGTACTCCAACCTGGTCTTTATTTACATTCAGAGTAATTAACTTCCCTTCAAAAGGAAAGGGTTAAAGGTAAAGAATATCTTGTAATTATTTTTAAATTTGTAATGTTTCATTATTTATTTGGAGATCAACAATAAATTCCAAATACATTTCTGTGTATCTGAATTATCATTCATGCAAAGAGACAGAACAAAATCTGCAACAAAGTATAAAACCATTGTGAGTCTTTTAAAATGTTATAAAATGAGACCTCACAGTTTCTCATGATGAAATACTTCTATTATACATTATAATTAGGTGCAAGAGTTCAGATCTATTATTAATGTAAAGCTTTGGTTCTTCATAGCACCTATTTTATTCACACAACATAACAACAGCACACTAAACATGAACAAATGCATTGCAGTATTAGTTGTCAGCAATGATTCTCTATGAAATCTTCTTGGGCAACAAGCCATGTCAGTTTTGGACAAAAGCCCAACATTTCTGAGACCATTTCCACCACCATCATCATTCCAATGATGATGAAGACAGTCTTCAAAACGTTGGGATTTTGTCCACAACTAAAATGGCTTGCTGCCCCAGAAGATTGTATCAAGTTCAGTCTTAAATTTTTCTCTAGTTTCTACCTCCATAAACCCTCAAGTCATTTAGACCCACTTCTGACAACTCACAAATTTCTTCATGGTTTCTAATTTTTACTTTATTTATTTTCAATAAATTCTAGAACTCACTTTATGGATTATTTGCATTAACAGTGAGAATCACAAACATGAACAAATAAGGACCTCCACTTCAGTCCTATTTCAGACACCAAAATACGTACATGTACAATTTTTCATTGATATGTAATCACTTCAAAGCAGACTAGGCCTCATGACAATATTAGCATAACAGTAATTATAATATACAGCAAATAAAAACTGAGTGAGTAAGAGTGATTTGCATGCTGTGAATATGCAAGACCAATTCAGTTAACGTGTGACACAGAATGGTATTTCCTTTCTCAGAAAAATCAGTAGTGATCAATACTGCAAAAATGTGCAGTGATTAACAATTAGCAGAGATAACTTCTGAGCCAGCCTGAAATTTACCATCAAGAGATTCTTTAGTGTACTATTACTGCATATACTTAGTTCACTAACCAAGCTTACACTGTAGCTGTTACCTAGTAACATACACTACAGTAGGTAATAACATTTATTTTTAAATGATTTTATCATCACCAATCAGACCTGAAACTACTTATGTAACAGAATACCTTGTGCTCATACCTGAAATATTTACAGGACAATCACAATTATAGAGCTAGATGAAAGGAACAGCATAAACCACAAACGAAGGTGAAAACCATGCCAATATACAAATAACTTACCCTCTATAAATACTAATTCAAGCATGTGGATTACATTCCAGTCTCAGAATCAATCACACTCTATCAACATTATCAACAAGCCATTCTCAAATACAGCATAACAAATCCTAAACAACCATCCCAGGAGAAATTATTACATTAATATAGTATAATATATCTTAATATAAGAATTTTAATGTGAATCTTGTTTCTGGGTGACGGCACTATGTAGATGCATGCACACAATTTTGAGATCCTTCTGCCGCAATCTCCAAAGCAAAGTGATATCTACATGATGCCATAATTCTGAAGTAGGATCTACATTAGCACCGAACCACATTTAAAACTGAAATATTCTACAATGCTACACTTCAAAAAAAAAAATAACATAAATCATGTTAAAAGTTTTGTGTTTATATGCTTCAAATGCAAAATAATCCAAGGTAAATTCAATGGAAAAACAGAAAGCTATTCAACAATGAATTACATGCAATTTTAAATGGTTGGAGAAAATTCTTCTGAATATCTGTCATGAATGAACAATGTAAGCAAGAATATCATAATGAGATTTAATTATATCATTAAAATTCAGTATTTAACAGTAGAAGTGAAAATAAGTTCCATTCAAGCACATTAGCTTTAGCAAGTAATCAAGGCCACACAGAATAGTCATGAACAAATATCTTGAGAAAAGCACAGCATATTTGAATGGTGTATATTTAATATGATTATTTAACAATGAAAATAATGTTTCTGACATGTCAAGAAAATTTAAACTCTAACTACTGAACTGATATTCCCTTCGAGCCTGTTAATGTCAAAGACATTTCTATGAAACAATGTAAGGAACTTTGGGAGGGAGGCTTCCATGCTTTTTGTTTATTAATACAAAATGGAATTTTTAAAGAAAATGTTAAATTTGATTTTACAACTTCACTCCATGCATTTGTATTCATTCCTTTGTACTCAATATCCCTTCCAGGGATACAGTACTGTCATTTCTGGGTACATACAACTGCCACATGTTATGTTAATAAAATTCAAATATCCTGACAGTGTTGCACAACACACCTTCATATCTTGCCACAAACAGACATATTAAGAAAACATATTTCCTACACTGAACTATGATAACGTGATACTCTTACAAAGTTTAACAATCTTTTGCCTCAGCTTTTAAGTTGTATTCCATCCATGAAAAGTACATGCTACTCTGGAAGGACTACTCAGATTTAAAGGACCTAAAATCATTAAAGGCAACATAACTGTTACGCAGTAATAACAGTATTATTACCTGTCATTGCAAGAGACTTTTTGGTAGTAGCCCAACCAAGACTTCTTTTCACAGCCATTTTCCACTTGCTATAACGGGCATCTCTCTCTATAAAGACATAACCACAAAGCAAACATAATGAAATGAACAAAAATCTTATGTAACATGAAATAAATAGTAATGTTCTGATCAGCTGATAATTGAAAACTGTGACAAAGGAGACTTAACACACTGTTGCTTTCATTTTGTAGATTTTAATTCTCTTAGTAATATCTCTGTGACCAATTCATAACTCCTACATATTAAGTATTTGTAATTGCCCCAGATTTTGGAGTAAATGAGTGGCATTTCTGTCAAACAGTGACAGAAAAATATTTAAAGCACTGATAATTTTGGCTGTGCCTATTAATGAAGATCATAGAAATATTAAAAAAGATAATTCTGTTTATAGCCTTCACATATGCTATGCACATTACTCAGCACATCAGTCTCTGTTCAAACAGAGAGATCAGTGAAGAGTTCTGTCTTCTGGGTTGTTGCGCTGTGTAGTCTGGTCGATGTTTACCAATGTTTCAGAGGTCACACTGCCTCCGTCATCAGGGCAATGAATTCATGAACTCATTATCAAGTTTGGTGTTGGCTCATGTGGCCTGCCCATGTCATGTCATCACCTCAGCTCTCCTCCTAAACTTCTAACCCCTTACATTTGCATCCTAAAATATGTTTCAATTATTCTGTTGTTTTCCAGTCTTCCTATAAGCTGTCATTCAAGCTTGTATTGTCATCATTAGCATCTATCTGGTTAATAATACCCACATGTAAATCAAAAGCATTATGTTGTCCTACTAATTTCTTGCTGACCAATAAGAGTCCAGTGGCAAGGATCCCCACATTTAGTTAACCTCTGGAGAGGTTCTGAGATAGTATTTCCAGCTACCCTGATAGACTGGTTACACCAACATACTTACCTTTCGGGCTGTTGTGCCACATAAGATGAAACATACTTACCTATTTACTACTTAGAAAGCACTATATAATTTCTAGCAAAACGTTTTAATTAACTGAAAGCAAAGGATTATATTTTATCTCTGACAATACTGAAGTCAGTTTGCATCCCACAGCATCTTACCTTCGTGAGTGGTGGTGGGAATAAAGGTGTCATGGACAACTGGTACCTCAGGTTCCTTATACAAATCCCAAACACCAATCCCTTCAGCTTGGCCTGCAGCCATTGCTACTCCCAGAGCTTCCATTCTGACGTATGCAGATGTTTGTTCTAAGCAGAAGACATAACAAAATGAGGTAGGATTTGAGGTTTTCATGATGGTGAGTCTGAAGAAGACAGCCATCTTAATAACAAAACTAATTCTTTTTTATAACCATTCTGAATTCAGTGTCACTTGAAAACCTATCAAAATATAAATAAGTTATTATCATTTTCTTAATATTTCATAGCATGGTATGAGAGTTTTGGATTCATACATTTTATTAAACCATCTTCTTTCATTAATGTTAAGCGTTTTACAATTTGTATTTGTAGCTGTTTAAGCGGAAGGATTTGTCTTCATTAGGCAATACAACTTTAATGGTATTCTAAGTGATAATGGTATGGCATCCAATATCAAAGATATATTAGCTAATCTAGCCATTGATGATTTTTCAAGTAACATTGTGTTTAAGTCAATGGTACTGCATCCAATATCAAAGCTACTATGGACTGTGACACCATGTGACTCACATACAGATACCAACATTTCAGAGAAATGTAATGCCTCCATCTTACAGGATGGACATAGTATGTTTCTCCAAAATCCTGATATCTACCTAGGATTCCACATGGTATCACAACCCAGAAGAACAATGTTGTCATCTTCACTGCCATGAGAACCTCAGATTTCACAACATCCAAGTCATTCTGAATTCCTTTGTCAATATTCAACTGACACTTAACAACATTGAAGCCACATTTGTTTCAAAACAACTGTATATTCTTCTCAGCATGCAAACTGAAAGTATACAGCTGAAATTTTAATGAAACCATTTTCTGATTAATTTATGCAGGGAGTATGCCTATTTTCAATTGCAATGGCAACAGTATAACAAGGATGGCAAACCATTAACACATGTCAAATGTGGCACTGACCAAGATTTTGTCTACCACCAGTGATTAGTTTCTGCCTTTATTAACATCATTAACCATTAGGTAATTCAGTAGTTCACCAAGTTATAATATTCAAAGGTCAATACACTTTCATTGTTACTTAATGCTTCCATTCTAAATACGGAAAATTATTATTCACAGGTTGGGAACTACAAAGGAACACAACAGAGTATTTGTTTTCCTGGCAATAATAATTATTAACAACTATTTTCGTCTGCGAGGAACATAATAACAACAACAGATTTAAAAAGTTGTCACACATGAAGCACGTTTGGCATTTGTGTCATTCCTTAATACCCACACAGAAGAAAATAACTGAAAACTTGTATAAAAATATGCAGAAACAGGTCTAATTAAGTACACCAGGTGGCACTGGAGCATCAAGGGCAGATAACATTACTTCTTACTGGTAAATTACTTTGTATGTAAAATGACACCAAGCAGTAAAGAGATTCACCATTACTGCCATATGTAAGGTACACTCCCTGTATTTAACATCTCTACTGGCCTATATCTGGTACGCACAATCTTGAACTGTGGGGATGAAACACCAATAATATATTTCCAAATACATATCCCTTTACAGACAGCACAAAACTTACCAACAGGAATTCCACAGAGGTCTGCCTGCAGTTGCATCAACAACTTATTTTCTGTCATCTTGCCATCCACTTGCAGTTTGGTCAGGTGATGACCACAGTCCTTGGCCATTGCTTCTAGAATGTCTCTCGTTTGAAAGCATACTGCCTCCAGCGCAGCACGAATAATGTGATTCCTGGTTGTAAACTGAGTCAGACCACAGATAATGCTACAAACATAAAATGGTTATAAATTAAAAACACTGAAAAGTATAAATTCTTCAATTCATGAAGATGATCATGATGCACAACAAATGAATGCATAAAACTGCAGCTCCAAAATATAATACAAAATTAAGCTTAAATTACTTGTCTGATACTAAACATGGGGTTCAATATGAATAACTTAAAAAAATTATAATATTATTTATCTCAACAAAATTAACAAGAAACGTACGACACTTTGTTTTGTATATAACATTTCTGATTTGAATGGATCTCTCTAAAAGGAAACAAAGATGAGGGAATTTAAGAACGCAGTGCTGAGAAGCATATTTGGAGCTAAGACAGAGGAAGTAATAAGCTGAAAACAAAAGTTACATAATAAGAAGCAGCTTTATGATTTGTACTCTTCACCAAATATTATGAGGATAATCAAAGTGAATCAGATACACAAGATATATAGCATGAATGGGGAGATGAAAAATGTGCAAAGAATTTTAATCAAAATATCTTAAGGAAAGAGACCATATAGGAGGCTAGGCAAAGGTCAGAGAATAATGTTAAAATTAAGCTTAAGAAAATGGAGTGTGAGGGTGTGGCCTGAATGCAACTGTCTCAGAACACAATACTGTGACATGTTCCATTAACAGTTGGTTATTTATTCACCAGCAATTAACATCTAACTTGTCAAAAAGGCCCTATTCCATGAAGGATGTAAGCAAGTTTGTAAATTCCTTCATATCATTCCTTCACAACAATCCTTCATTCTATATATTCTTACCCTCGCGCATCCTTACGCCAGTATGGGGCATAGAGGCCAGAAAATGCTGGAACAAAATACACATCTCCTGTAGATGGCACATCTGCTGCTGCACTTTCTGAATCACTGACTTCCTTCAAAATATTCAAGTTGTTCTTGAGCCATTTCAATGCACTGCCAGCTACAGCTACAGAGCCTTCTAGAGCATACACCGCTGGTATATTCTTGCCCATTTTGTATGCCACCGTAGTCTCCAAGCCGTGTGTGGAATGAACGCGCTGCAAGTAAATCATTTCAATTAAGTACACTACTCTAAAACACTAACAAAACAGCATACAAAATTTTAACCATGGGAGGAGCCAAACTAATAAAACTGTCAGAAATATCAGAAAAGCATAACAGACAATCATATATGACTACTGCAAACAAGATTCTTATGATTTTGTCTATTATATTTGAATATTTTATTTCAATACAATTCTGTTCAACACATAACTTCTTTTCTTACCATTATATATTATGAGTATGGCAAATAACATGTATAGGGAAGATGTAAAACTCATATAAAATTTTAGTCAGAAACTTGAAGAAAACACTTTGTAGACCTACGCATGGATGGAAGTATAATACTGAAGTAATCTTAATAATCTGGCTCAACTTCAGATCCACAAATGGGCTCTTGTGGTTCAGGCTCCATAACAGGAACAGAATTTCTTGAACAGCTGAGTGATTACTAGGTCCTCACAAAGGACACTACTCTACAAGTTAGTTAAAATGTTAAATTTAACATCATGTGGCATAAAAGATTTTAAATTCAATGTGGAATAGACAGAACAAATATTATCATGGAGGAATCATACTGGAAGTTTCATAAAACAAATTACTCTCAGACTTACAGACAATCCAGTGTTGTACACAAGGAAACATCCTTTACGGTATGTGCTTTTAGCTTGACCTTCTTTAAAACACCGTTCACCAATGAGTGAAGATTGTTGATTGCCCAGAATCTAAAACAAGAAATGACTACTGAACAACAACAAATTGCTCTAATAATTTTAAACTGGCAGCTTCAACAGAGAAAAGGAAACTCACTGATGAAATGGGAATTCCCTTCAGAGGATCTTCTTTTATGTGACCATATATTTCAGATGAACTACGAATTTCTGGCAATAAGTTTGATGCAATGTTGAAATATCTGCAACATGGTAATTTATCATTAGATGATCTACTTAAAAGAAAGGATATGAATAAAATTAAAAAGACGTGTTCCAATTTAAAATAACTATTTTCCAAGTGCATCATTTGAGATTCTGAATACCTCACTGGTCTTCATGTTCATTTATTGAAGGTACAAAACTCACTGTTGTAAAGGTAATCACAAGACAGATATCAAACTGCATAATAATTTTGTTAAATATGTTGCACTAACAAATATTTTAAGTAAACATTGTATATCTTAATTATTTTTTTAAACATACTGTTTTTTTTTAGAAAATTGATTAGGTTCTATTTGAGCCTCGTGTTGTTGAACTGATATAAACTAAATATAAATGCCCCTTGTCTCTTTAGTTGTCAATCCCCAATAAAACCAGCCCATTAAGTGCCATGTAGGAGTACAATGGAGAGGAGGTATACGTAGGGTAGTCAAAAAGTTACCGGAATTGTGGTATAGCACTGTAATAGTAGGACATATGGCAACGCTTACCTAATCACCTTCAAAGTAGGACCCTTGTGCACACACACACTTGTTCCATCGATCCTGCCATTGTTGGAAGCACTGGCAGAAGGCTTCGTTTGGAATCTTCCGGAGTTCGGCCGTCGCATTCGACACATACCTGGTTGTGCAGCAATTCCTCACTAAGAAAAGCATTCCTGTCATCACCTAACCACCATACTCTCCAGATCTCACTCTGAGTGACTTCTGGCTGTTCCCTACTCTGAAAATGGGCCTCAAGAGGGCGCATTTCCCAACCATAGAGGACATCAAATCAAATGTGACGGCCAAATTCCGGAAGATTCCAAATGAAGCCTTCCGCCGGTGCTTCCAACAATGACAGGATTTATGGAGCAAGCGTGTGTGTGCGCAAGGGTCCTACTTAGAAGGTGATTAGGTAAGCATTGCCATATGTCCTACCATTACAGTGCTATACCACAATTCCGGGAACTTTCTGACTGCCCCTCGTAGCTTCTACTCATTCTAAATCTCAGCACTAGATGGAGGCAAAATTGAACATAAATCCCTTTAGTAGTTTCAGATAAATAATATGCAGATGGGACAGACACAATCTCTCTACATGCATTCACTTCATGCACTCTGCGCAAAAGTACATAACATACAAGAGTGTTTCAAAAAGTAAAATAAAAGCACACTGCATGATGCCTAAGTGGGATGTTCGGGACAACCCGCTATGCAGTTCTAACCTCAAACCAAGTTATTTCAATCACTTTGGACGGCACCTGGCTGGTAAGTGATTTGCAACTGACGACAATGTGACAGTTTCATTTCCTGGCTAAAGGTGGTTGACACTGAATTCCTCCATGTTAGGATACATGCCTTGGTATTACGGAACACAAATGGCAACTATGAGGAAAAGTTATTTAAGAATGAAGCCCTTCACAAAGGAGATCTTGTTACTTTGCCGTTTAAAACACCTTCACAAAGCCAATGTACTTATAACTGTGGCCAGAACAGATTTTTCTGTTTCATTTGATTTCCATTTAGCTATAAATCTAAAATTATGTCAAGTTCCTAAATAAAAAATGAAAATTATTAATAATTTGACTTTTATTTCAAATATGATTTGGAGCAAAGACAGCTAGATAAGAAAAAAATTTATTATCAGGATTGGTGTCCTTACTTTATTGCTGTTACTTTAAATACAGATGATAATACCTGCACAATACTGGATCCCACTGGAGAGTTTCTATGTTCATCAGCATAGTTCTGGAAGCATTTGTGACATCAGTTATGAACAATCCTCCCTTCCTTCCACCAGTCAGGTTCTGAAATCAGAATACAGGAAACATGTGATCATACTGAAGTGCTAAGTAATTCAGAACTGTCACACACACTGTACAAAGCCCTTACTTTGATAAACTTGACATATCACTTAATTTTAAAGAACTTATAATTATTACTTTAGTATTACTAAAAAATTTACATAAAAAATTTGTAGGTTCATAATTACTAAGAGCCACCGAATTTTCTGTATTTCTGCAATAATTACACACCCAAACAAGCCATGTGTCCACTGTGCCAAACCGACAGCGCTGCTCTCTGATCGCTCTTCGCACGGCAGGAACATTATCTATAAGCCATCGCATTTTAAGAGCACTGAAGTAAGGACTGATTGGGAGTCCACACAGAGGCATTAAGGCATTCTTACTGTTTTCTGGTACTTTTGCCAAAATCTGGTCAACAGTTGAGTCAGTTCGGATATCAGACCAAACTGAAAAATTACATATGTAAACACATCAACATATATATACATGCATGCATGCACGCACGCACACACACACACACGCACACACACACACACACACTGATAATTCTAAAACATGTTTACAAAACTCCTTTTGCAAATGTTGTAACTAACTTCATGGCAACTACTCTTCTTCAGAAGGTAATAGGCACTAGGCTGACCAAAAGAATGTCCCACCTTTTATGAAATCAGAAGATTCATTACCAAGTTCGTAACAGTTTGCCAATGGATACTAACCACAGCTACAAGAATCCAGTACACATCACAGGAATGTTGTAACGTTGATAAAATAAAACAAGTAGGAAGGTAAAATGAAAGATGTTGGAGGACCAAGTTCAAAATGTCAACAAATGGCAAAGTTTTTACAGTTAGCACTTTCCTGGTTTTAAGGGTTTAACACAAAGGAATCATAAGTCTATGTACTGGAATATTTTAAAAATGTTACTCCCATTTGGAAATAATTTGATAGTTTGCACAACTAGATAAAATATATCTATAAAAACATACAGGTACAGGTCACTCCAATGTACATAACCATTACACTGGCAAGTAATTAAGAAGAAAAGTCTTACCAACAGCATTGTACAGTGGCTCTCCAGTGATTACATCCCATGCAATGGTAGTTTCACGCTGATTAGATATTCCAACTGCAACAATATCTTCAACACCATAGCTGAGTTTTTCCAGATTTTCAACACCACACGTGACACACTCCCTAACAGCTTGTAGTATTTCCACAGGGTCATGTTCCAGCCATCCTTCTTGTGGACATATCTGAGTAATCTGTACACTGCATGAGACAATTTCTCTGGTGTCCTCTGCTTTATATACCTGCCAAACAATACAAAAAGAAACAGTAATTAGCCCATTCTATCAAGTATCCCTTTTTAGAATTGAAATTCAAGTTAGTAAAATGTAGTTTATTTATTCAGGAGCTCAACATACCACAAATCGAGCTTCCTCTGTTCCCTCAATGATTGCTCCAATCAAAGGCTCTTTCCTGTTTGAGGAGTTTGATGACACAGGCATTGTAACTGGAACACACATAAAAACAACAGTCAATGTCAAGATTGAGATCCTCTGAGCTGTTACTTATACCATGTAGTCTTACAGCTGTATGCAATCAGTTCAGAGGAACATGCCTCCTCATTCAGTTGAAGTGAGTAGGGTTAGGAAAATATGTTAGAATTAAAAATAACAGGTGTTTTACATTACACAACATCCATCTTTTTTTATTTGCTTTACACGAGTCTCTATTTTAAGCTTACAATCTTGTTATTTTTAAAGGCAAAATCGTTTCAAAAACAGTTGGCCATAACTAAAGCCATAGAGCATCAGTTACAGAGTACCAATTAAAAACGCAACGTTTTAAAATAATAAAAGACATTGATACTGGGCAGGTTACATTCCAACACCAAAAACAAAATGTCTCCTCCAGAGACACAATTTCCTTTTTTTATGGAAAAAGAATGTGTTTACTACGGGGCTAGTTTAAATGAAAATAACTACATATATCGTCGCCTTTAGAAATGATGACTCAGTTACGCTACTTGTGACTTTTCGACAAATAAATCTTCGAAATACCACGGAAACAAACTAAACAAATCACTTTTTTTAGCAAAATGAAATCTTTGTATGGAAAGAACAGACATACATATGCGAAACATCTTTGAAAGTGTTTTAATCCATTGTGAGATCACTTTGAGTGGTCAAGAATTCCTCGACGACAATTGCTTTGAAGTTACCTACCCTGTGATTAAGGACAAAACACAATTAGCGGTACAGGTCGGTCCAGAATTCACCAACACGATCGGACTGTGATCTTTGACATGGAGGCGTGGCTCTGACTTCACTATAGAAACCCGTGACAAAGTCCGTGTCTTATCTCAGATTGTACATCTGACACGTATATTCTAATACAAGCAACACGAAGTGTGGACAGACGAGCCCCCTTAGGCGCATGAACAAACACTAATTAAATGTCAAATTACAACGACCACTTGGTTTACCTTGCCCATGATAACAAATTAACACGCGCAGCCTTGGCCACGTCTTCCAGAGGTCAGCCTATCAGATGACATACAAATAACATATATGCAATTCGGACACGATAACCAAAATTAGCATAGCTGTTTTCAAGACGACAAGGTCTACATTACACAGAATATAAAGTGGGTCTCAGTCGACTTTATCAAAGCCTGCTGCAGATGTGGAAAAGAGTAGATGGGGCTACGTTGTACTAGGGATCGTCAAAATCTCTTCGTATGTATGAGATGCAAATAACTAGGAAATAACACATCGTGGTATTGTTCCAATTCTCGACCGGGACCGACCATCCTGAGGTTCCTCGTGTTTTTCCTCAGCCCCTCCAGACGACAGATGGGGGCAGTACCTCAAAATAGGCCAAAGCCTTACCTTTCCAATACTTTTAAATTCAGTAAGCACAATCATAAAAGCATTCATTATATGGGAAAACGCCTATATACTCTGTTGATACAGAATAATTAAATAACCTACGATCCACATGAGATTTCAGCTTCTCGACGAATACAACACTCTAATTCCTATATGCTAATAAAGCGAGTACAATTTAATTACAAAGAAACGTCTAATCGTTGGAACCTAAACATTCCTAGACATTCTAAGGTAATTCATAATAAACAAAGAGCATGGTGAGAAATCGTGATAAAATTTCTTGTATTGCTTGTTTACCACTTGGACAATTTAGGAGTACGTGGGAAGATAATATTAAATAAATCGGGTGTGGATTGTATTCAACTGGCTCAGAACAGGATCCAGTAGTGGACTTCGACAGTGACGTTCGCTGATGTCCGTTCTACTCCGGCTACACGCACGTGAACGCCTCTCGTGATGGAACATGACGGACTACAGAGTTGTGTTACATAAGTAGGTACACCAATGTCATACAATTGACTTATTACTCCTGAGCAAACAAAGAAAAACTATTATCAAACAGGAACAAGTTCCGCGTCACGAGTCCTCTAAGTGTTCTAAATTTGTTTTTAAACATTTCCTGCCGGTGATTTCCATTATAAAACATACAAAGGGTCCTGCGAAATTCTTGAACGATATTCAAGAAGCATTGCATTTATTTTCAGACTATTCACGAAACAAACAGGAAAGAACCGTTTGCAACATCTACTTGATGGATACAAGAAAGTGACACCATGTCTAAAATTGCGTTATTTTTTTTTTTTACTAAAGCAGGGTGAACACTTTCTTTGCAACTACTTTACACAAATGCAGTTGTAACATGCACCAAGATTAACTGTTAATTCAACAATTTGTTGCATGAGGGAAAAGAACTGAAAAAAGAGTAGAATTTTTGGCAAATACTTCTAGTATAAAAATACGAGGTGCGATCGGAAAGTTTCAAGACTGCGCCTATAAAAACCCGTACACTTATCTCAGGTATTAAATTCATCCATCACCCTCGAAGTAGTTCCCCTGGGAGTGAACACAACGATCCCAGCGCCGCTGCCAAGCCTGGAAGCATCCCGGGAAATCTTTCTTTGTCAGCCTGTCAAGCACCATCTGCGATTCTGCCTGAATCTCTTCTATCGTCTCAAATCTCCTTCCCTTTAGCTGAATTTTCATCTTTGGGAAGAGGAAGAAGTCACACGGAGCTTAGAAAGGAAGTTGGGGTCGGTTCTTGCAAGATCTTTGAGCTCCTGACAAACGAGAAGTCGATTCTGCTTATATTCCTCAGACAGGATGCGTCGCATGGGGGGTTCTTCCTTTAGAATCAGCTGACAGGTCGCATAGCCTATCCCAACAATGTCGCACAAGTCGTTGATGGTACGACGTCGATCTTCGTGAATGGCCTGCCGAATCTTGGTAACATTTTCGGGCGTTGTGCTCGGAGATGGTCGTCCAGAACGCTCGTCATCATGGACAGAGGTTCGGCCCTTTTTAAAACGTGAATGCCACACAAAAGTTTGTGCACGACCCATTGCGGACTCCCCAAATGCTTGCTTTAGCATTTCATAGGTTTCCGTAGCCGTTTTGGCGAGTCTTTGGCAAAATTTGATTTGTTCATGAAAATCCGCCATTCCGAAATAGCAGGAGGGTCGGTGTAATGCACTACCAAAACACCCGTAACTAAGAAACAAATGCTAATACGATGATGCCGGCTGGCACACTGATTCACTATAAATGTAGGCCGCACCACCTAAAGGCAGAAGCTCGTACTACATCCGGTTCGCCCTCTATTGACACAGTCTTGAAACTTTCCGATCGCACCTCGTATATCACGTGTAGGCACGTAAAAAACTTGAAATAAACCACTGCCACATTCAGACTGTTACACCCCAAATTGCAACGCTTGAAAAGAAGCAATACATCTCACGTGATATATAATATATCAGGCCACTAACAATGTCAAATAGCGGGAAAAGGACGGGAGTAAATACCACCGTGATAGCATGATATTGTACCTACTTTAACAGAACATTTTCTGCCCGGCCACTCACTCTTCGCCGACCCAGAAACACTGCTCGGGTTCGTCTCGTGTGCCTTCGTACATGTGGACGGTTTTACGAGCCTGAGCTAAAGCAGTGCCATCAACGGGAGCCCTGGGCTCCAGGGTTCCCTACAGTGTCGGGTGAGCCGTCTGCACACACAGGGTAACAACCACCCCACCAGTTCCTGGTCTAAACGATTAACTGTTTCAAAATTAATTCTGAGTCAGTACAGACAAGAGGAACGAATCCGCGAAAGATTAAACTCAAGACGAGCATTTATGTTTCTCGCATATCCCAATGGCTTATTTCATAAAACCTGTTCATGTGAAGAAATCAAGAACTAGTTTGGCAAGAACAGTAGGCACACGATGGATAACTCGTTCCGCGGTCTAAAAATAACTTAACAGGTGACCATTTAATTCCTGTAACCACATCAGTTACTGATGTGACGCAAATCCAGTGAATATATTATGAGCCAATTTTCCGACAATCACTACGCACATTTTTCATTTTCTCAGTTGTCCCACAAAATCGTATATGACCACCTGGTCCGTCATGTTCCATATACACCAATAACTTCGTAGCGAAACACCATTAGACAAACGAATCATTAAACCAACAGTTTGTCAATTCAGCTTCATCTAAACCATGGAGAAGGCAAACATCTGCCAGCCGAGTGTTTGTGTTTATTTTGTAATTCGATTAAAACAATGGACACAGAAAAATACACTGGACTCAACGTACTATTAAGAACAAAACAATACACAAATCAAATTCGGAGACCGACAAAGAACGATATCCATAGATGTAGGAGTGACAAATAAACATGCTTCATCAGTGTATGACTTCCAGAAACGTAGGCTTTATAATAATACAGACATAACAGTGGATTACAGATAGAGCACAACATTGAAAAGTTACTTTACCTGCTGACATAACACCTGAGGCGAGTGAAAACACGTGTGTCCCTTGAAATTGTTCAACAGATGTGGCGAGCAACGTAGAATGATGGTACCTTGAACACCATATCCCGTTACGCCACAGAGCAGGTGATGTAATGGGTCTCTCAGGGTCAGGCAATGTTTTAAGCAAAGAATAGTGACACAAAAAAATCGAACAAATTCCTTGTGAAATTCTGGTCACGCGATTGGTTACTCCGAAATACGCAATCCAAATCGTGTCCCTGATACCAACAATGTCACAGAAGCTTTGGTTTGGAGAGGCCGGCCGGAGAGGGGGTGGATGAAACCGAGCAAACGAATTAATGAACTATTAATGGGAAATCCTGCTGTCCACTGGCGATAAATATTTCAGGGCTTTTTGACATAAATACGTCTATACGGAAGGGTCATTCGGCAAGAATTGACAGTGGAACCACGGTTCCGGAGAATCTGACGTAAATACTTTTCTGTATTTAAATTACATTTAAGCAATAAATACAATGAAAGGAAGGTAGCTGAATGTAATGTAAGAAAATGTAATGTAATGTAAGGAAATGTAATGTAATGTAATGAAATGAAATGTAATGTAATAAAATGTAATGTCAAAATTATCTAGTCTACGCACTTCTTCTACAAGCGATTCACAGCTCAGCTCTTTCCGCAATAACGAAAGCGGATTGTTGACGGCAATAATGTAACACAACAATGCCGAGTAAACAGATGACGTTTCCTAGGTAACATAACAATGCACGCAAGCTGACCATTGTTGTCGGTCCATATTTACACATTGTTGATATGGATCTTACACGTTAGGTAACAACAATGCCGAGTAAACACGACGTTCCCTAGGTAACCATTGTTGTCGATTTGTTGATACGGATCTTACACGTTTTCCTTTCACTTTTGTGCCGAATGACCCTTCCGTATAGACGTATTTACGTCAAAAAGCGTTAAAAGATGTGTAAGATCCATACCAACAATGTGTAAATTGTTATGTCATCTGTTTACTCGGCATTGTTGTGTTACATTACTGCCGTCAACAATCCGCTTTCGTTATTGAGGAAAGAGCTGAGCTGTGAATCGGTTGTAGAAGAAGTGCGTCGTAGAGTAGATAATTTTGTGCTTTAAAAACGTTTTAGAATATCACAAGTACTTATCTTATATAAGAATTGTTAAGAAATCTGTGATACTGCCCTACACTCTCTCCATTTTAGTTTCAATTAAATTGATCATTGCCGGTGGACATCGTGGTCTCTTACAATTGAACAAAGTTTGAGGTTAGGGATTCCTATTTATTATTGTTGTTCATCACGTTAAGCGCCCGCCTCTCGAAAACCGTAAGAGATGGATCCTGACATATTGCGTACGAAATACGTATTACCTCTTGAGCTTTCCATACGTTTTCAGATTTTACATCACAAACGTTTAGGTTCTACAAACATTTATTTATACAAATAAAGGAGCATCGCACTTCACGCTACTGCTGCATTTGTGTGTTGCGTCATAATATGTAGAAATAACAACATGGATGACATTGAAGCTAAAAGAGTCCGTGATGCAGAATATATGACACAGTACAAAAAACGTAAAAAAATAGAAGTATTAAATAATGAACCTGAAGTTCCCAAAAAAAATACCAAAAACTAATGCTGAACGTATGACGGATAGATAATTAAGCAATGTCTTAATCAAACTATTTACTCAATTATAAAGCATGTATAAAGGGAATATTTAGAATAAAGCTAATATATAAACTTCCTTTCGTTGCATTTATGGCCTAAATATAATTTAAATACAAAGACATATTTACGTCAGATTCTCCGGAACCGTGGTTCCACTGCAATTCTTTATTCTGGTATACTGGGTTGCGTGCGTAGGCTTGTAGGTAGGTGGTTACCAACGTATCACTTCGGTAAAAAATTCAGGTTTCTGAGCACAGTTGTATCAAACGCCTGTAATTTATGTTCTTTCAAAGTCAGAGTCCACATTTTACACTCGTAATTGGCAAAACTATCGACTCGTCTCTACCATATCCTAGGCTGGGTGATAGAAGTTTTAAAACTGAATAACAACAAATATCTCAATTCACTACAAACTTCACATGTTGTTCCCAGATGCTTGAACGTCTGCTCAGAGGCGCACGGGTAGTTGCTCCGATGACCCGATCTTCTTCACAGAACGACGCCAGCAAGACTTGTCAGTCTACTATCAAAACGCAGGGTATTATGTGCTGATCAGTAGCAATCCGGGTTGAAGCGGTTTCATGCTTTTCGATGGACTACATGTAACGATTTGATTAGAAATTTGCATCTTTATATTTTTGGCGAAACTGACTTTTTTTTCTCGTTATTTAAAGCCTATATGAGATAATTTCGATCAAAGTTGCGAGCTCATACAGTTCAAAGTATGTATCTGACAAGAATAACTGCGTACTTGACTTGCCATAAATCATGATCACAGGTCCTTGTCCAATGCCTGTCTAGAAACTAGCAGAGGCCAGCTTTGACATTTAAAGTTACTTTATCCCTATCGTTATGTAAGAATCAGATATGAACATAACATATACAACGGCTTTAAATGAATAGGTTCCTAAAATAATTCTTCATGATATAAAATGTTCTGTGTTCCTAGTATTCCTTCGACCTGAACGTCTGGACGTTACCTGAAGACATCAACTACACCCATAAAGCGATTTGATACTTACAGAACTTAAATATTTTTAGTTCCACCTTTTTTAGCGAGGAGGGGCGACGCCTCTATCCATAACAGTGACAGTATATAAAAGATATGTCATTATTACAGTGCGCTAAATTCAATAAACCCCGTAAAACGAAAGCGTACTTCAAGTAGTATTTTATAAAACAGAAATTACAAGTTCATCGACCACTGTCACGAATTTGGTATCTCTGCAGCTTTTCAGCTTTTCATCAAAATAATTAGCAGTACAAAGACTAAGCAGGGGCGTATTACCAATTTGTCACTACAGTGCAATAGAGTAGCAATTTATTACTCCGAACAGTAACATACAGCACACACATTCAGCCACACTTCCGCAATAGAGAAAACAAACATTCCACAACAAATCCTTGGAACAAAGACGCACTACAGAAAGCTGGGTCTGACGGCTTATTGCTATCACTGAACGAAAAAGAAAACGTTTAATAAAACAATAGCGTGGTTTCGCAGTTTTGACAACTAAACTGCACTGTCTCGAAAGATAACAAGCATAAGCAATCCTGGGATTTATTCATACCTCAGTATATTTTGAATGTGACCCAAACATAAGAAGAAACTCATCTCGTATCACCGACGGGATTAATTATCACAGATTTACAGGAAACGTCATAAACCGCGAATAATCGTGACTGTTACCCCGTCTTACGTTTTCCTTATCCATCTGGTATCCTCGTTACACCAAAACATTGGCATCCACTAGTTCTGTGCGTAGATATCCTAAACCACTGGTCCCCAACCTTTTTGTGCCTACGGGCACATTTGAGAGTTTATGAGATCGTGGCGGGCACCAACCAATTAACAAAGCCAAATTTTCCTTTCTCTGGACAAATAAGATATGGACACCAAATAATACACAAAATAACACGACGTTTAATAATACAAGAACCCAGGTAATCAAAAGTACAATTATTATTACTCAAGTGGGAAGTTAGTGTGAAGATTGGCGTTGCATTTCATCGGCCAGTTTTTCAAATTTGGGAGTGTAGGATGATGTTGCTGCTCGCAAATAATCGTCAAGATAGGCGTCAGTAAGTCGAGATCTGCGCTTTGATTTTATAATGTTCAAGGTTGAATGGCCTTCATTATTCAGTATAACCTCTTTCCGTAACAACGCGGGCACCCAAAAAAAAAGCCTTGGCGCCCGCGAGCACCGCATTGGGGACCACTGTCCTAACCAGTCTCCTTCCTTCAGGTTTTTTAACCAAACAACGCATTTCTTTAAACATAAACCAAGTGCACTAAATCATGGTACACACAGTGTTTCTAATTTATACTTTAAATGTCCACACAGGAAAGAAATTAGGTCGCAAAAGATAGCAGGCGAAACTCAAGAGCACATGAAAAATTAAATACACGGATATTCCTCCAAAATAAATACGGCGGGCAATTTTCTGGAAGGTTACTTCAAAGCTGCCATTCCGATCTCACTGCGGACTGACTAGTGAGGAATACGGAATGCATCCAATTCGGTTTCGGATTACGTAAGACATTTCCCATATGTTTCAGTCCATATCGATTCTAACACACAGAGATAATGCAAACACTAATACAGATATAAAAACGCTCAAAGGTTAGACGGGTCAGGAAAAGCATCGCGTTTACTCACCTCATTCACACACTACACAGCCTATTTCCCTTTCTTAAGGAAAGAAATTGCTTTGTGAAATCCGTATACTATCGTCAATGTGATGTGATGAACGAGGTGGCCAATTTTCATGAAACTTGGGAACTTCGTTCTATTTAGGATACATTGTGTCCTTCTGCCTGCCACATCTTTCGGCCGACGTCTATTACCAATCATACGAACTATTCGTTCTTCCACAGAAAAGTCGGGAACGGCTGAACGCATTTTCATGAGATTTGGTATGGACAATGAATCATTGGAGGCTACTCCAATTCATATTTCGTTTGGATTTCCTACAATCGGAAAAATCAATATGACGCATGCTCAAACAGTAGACGACGACAACAACAACAACAACAACAACAACAACAACAACAACAACAACAACATTCAGCGACACATTCACAATTGCAAGCAATAATAAAAAATGTGCCCAAGTGGAATTCGATCGTATGACTATCTGCGCACGAGTCCAAAACGATAATTCATAAGCTGCATTGCATACCTCTGATATACCAGGTGATTCAAAAAAGACTTTACAACTTTGAAAGTGTATAGAAATTTATTCAGAAGGCTTAGAGAATCGGTTGAGGTGTCATTTTGTAGCAAAACAAATCAAGTTTGACTCACGTTGTGCTGTAGTACCGAATTCCGTCACCGCGAGCGCAAGCGGCAGTGCATTTGAAAATGGCTCGAAAAT